TATTTACCCAGGAAATAATGTGGGAGGAGCTGTTAGTCAACTCAGATGTTCAAGTAAACAAGCTGCTTTGGCATATTTTTTGGATTACTTTTGTGTATTAGTACACTCTAATTTAATCTAAAGTCAGAATCTTTAGGAGTTCCCAGTTTGAAATTCTAGTTGGAATTTCGCCACAAATAGTTTTGAAAATGAAAGGTTTATTTCTTATGTTGACACATATACCACCAGGAAATAGCAAAATAAAGCCCTCAAAATGAGTATAGGGTAACTTCTAAAATCTAATATCCACTTTCCGAGACTGATATAGCACTATCTGTTCAGATTCTGAACTAAATAATCTAGATTGAAGCTAAACAAAGATGCTGAAAGCATGCCAGCTTTTTTTTCAACTGTTAATAGCCCATGTTCTCCTAAGTAATAGGAGAACATGCAAATTGTCAATATTAATGTGGAATTCTTCATTAATCTTTGGATTTTCGTGCCCCCTAGTTTATTTTATACAAATTTATTGCGTATTGTGCTGCTCATTTGCATTATTTTTCTCATTTTTAAAACCTTTTGTATAATTAATTTTTTATTTGCATTTAGTTGATATCATGTATTATTTAATTTGCATCACACCTTATATTTTCTGTGACAGAGTGTAACAGGGTGTAACACTACCTCTGGTACAAAACCTGCACATATAGACCATGACCCTGACAGGATACATGTAAGTGGGAGAAGATGGATGGAAGGATCCTATATTTTCTCTAATCATTTTATTCCTCCTGTAGTAGATGTCATCCTTCAAACTGGTTTTTAATTAATGAATACATTTTTTTTTCCGCTTTATGAAATAACAGAAAGTTGAACATAAACACAATCCATAATCAAACATGATTCTGTTTGGGTTGGTTGATTTTTTTCACCTTGAGTTTTCTTCAGTATCAAGTTACAGTTTTAAACAATTTTAGAGGATAATATTTAGAAAAATGGTCTTTATAGAATTGCAACTCAGATATTTTCTGTTGGAATTTTGTATCAGCTTTTTAAGATATATGGCTCTATTCTCCCACTGTGCAGTATTTGTTAGTTCTACTCCTAACTTTATGTTCTCTCTGCTTATTGTTGACACCGTAGCATCATATGGTCTGCGCCTGTTTGCCTGGGACTCTATCCTGGAATGAAAGATCTGCTGGGCTGCTGCCATAAACTTCTCTTTTTAGATGTTTATAGATGATGGAGCTGGGTCTATTTTTTCCAGTGTAGTCCTGTTTCTTTTACTGCTACTGACTTTTGTGCTCTCCTTCATCCTTTGACAGGAGCTCGTCTGCTTGGTTGTGTCTTTTCTGGAGGGGGTCACCTTTGGTGCTAGTTAATAGTTTCCTTTGTATCTCTGCTTCTTTCTCTATGTCTGCTTCCACTGTATCTCTTTGAACCCCAGTCAGCCTCGACAGATGGCCTCTCACACTGAGCCTGGTTCTGCTGGAGGGTTCTTTCTGTTAAAAGAGAGTTTTCCTTGGTGGGAGAGATTGCTGCAAAAATTTAACAACAAAACAAAAACATGTCCTGCAAGTCGATGTCTGGATGCAAATCAACTGGTTTTCTTGATAAAAACTTTTTATCAAAGCTGTGATCTCTATACAGTTCTTTTAGATGACATGTGTTTTGAATTGGTGCTACATAAATAAGATTACCGGTAATTGAACTGAACTGGAGGGGCTCCCTTTGAGATCAATGTAAATTATTATTTTTTTATATTAAACCAGATTTGCTGCTAAAAATCTACCTGGGTAAGTATCAAATTTAATAGAATGTCCAAATAAATCAAATGCTGAGACACCTAAAGAGATTAACAACGTCTTATGCATGTGTTGCACAGCTTTGTTGATAGTAATTTAACAGTCACCAAAAAGGTTTAATGTATCAATGGTAGTAAATATGGAGGGGTTGACATTGAATTGAAATTCATTAAACAAAATCATATATTTTATTGGTGCACACTGCAGTGCAAACACTACATAAAGCACAAAAATAGCCTGAAATTCATTTCGGAAACAATACTGAGAATATTGGTTCTAGCACTAATTGAAAGAAAAACTCCTGCATATGCAAGAAAAAAACACCACATATAACAAATTCAGAGAATATAATCATATCAGAACACCAGCCAATGTAAAAGCAAACTTTTAAAACAAGTAAGATTTTTATTACATATCTGTAAATGTTACTTTTGTTTGTTTTCTTTTCACAACTGCTAGGCATGACAAGTTAATATTTAAGGCAAAAAAAAAAATCTTAAAAAGCTAGATATTTAATGGAAATATGATTTCTGTTTTATTATGATTTAAAGCTGATTTCTGAATAGTTTAAATTTCATACAAAATTTATTCTTCCTTTGATTACACACCTATACTTGAAAATATTGGTTGAATCTGTGAGATGACAAGAATAAGTAAACAAAAACAAAAAAAACATTTGCAGGTAATATAAAAAAACCAGAGCTCTTATTTAAAGTACAACTTCTTTTTTTCTTTCTTTTTAATGGGACTTTGAATGCAGTCTTCAGAGGTAAAATTGAGGCATTTGGTTTCAAGACACAAAAAAATTAGTTCTTTATGGCAACCAAATTAAAAAAAAAAAACTAAGTGAAATGTTTTGCAGGAGAAGAGATTTTCTATGTCATTTCCAACGCAGCTTCCTGAAGAGGTGCTTCGCTTTTGGGGTCCTTGTTCTTCCCTCCTCCCTTCTTTTGCTTTTTTTTTCTAGAGAAGCAAGAGATAGGGAAATAGGTTAGAGAGATAATTGATTTCACATATTATTATTCAACAGATAACAAATGAATATAGAGGTGTATAGTTGGATTTATCAAAATCTAAAAAGAGTAGTTTGCATATATAGCCCAATTTTAAATAGTCCTCCTATATCAGTGCTTTCAGCAGACTGAAATGATTTTTCTGTATGTTAAGCTACACGCCCTGTTGCACAGTAGACCTCCACTACAATCTCATTGGCAACCAGTGGTTTTCTTTAAACTCTTCAGCAATCTATTTCTGCTACTCTAATAAATGTCTGTCAGACACATCAGTTGTGGTAACACTGGTCTTTTGACAGGTTTTAGGTATTCCTCAATTAACTTTTTTAAATACGAGACTGAACAGTGGTTGAGGTATTGAAAGCGCGCCAATATTGCTTTGTAACCCAATAAAACTTTAAAATCCTCCAAATATGTATCCCTGACCTATCTGCTGTGTTCTTTGTTATTCATTAACTAATGTTCCTTGACAAATCCATAACCGATGTCCAAACAGCCCCTGTGTTTATATTTATTTTAATAAATGCTGGTTTATCTGCATTGGCAAATTTAAGGAATATTTGAGGGCAATTTCTTGCACAAGTATAGTTTAGTTTAGTATAGTATAGTCAGGGTTATAAGAGCAAATAGAACTGAATAAAAAACACAACAGTTTTTAGATGAACTTTATAAAAGAAAAAAAATGGAAAAGCCAAACAAGGCAGACTTACTTTGACTTAACCGTGAGGACTGTCACAGTTATTAAGATAGAGAGAACGATAACGGCAAGCAGAACTCCACAGATGATGGCTGTTGAAGATAACAGAAGTGATGTGTGAGGGCAAAATATCAAGACTATTGGCACAATCTTCAAGTTTTCTCTTGAATAAATGTATCAAATCCAAACATTTTTATTTAGCAGCTGTGAGGATATTTCTCCCTGTCCTTACTTACCAACAGGAGTGTCTGACTCGTGCTCCTCCTCTTCATCCCTGTCATCTAAGAAACACAGCAATCTCCTTTGAGAATTAAAGTAAAAAACACAGATAAACAACTTTGTGCATTTAAGAAAAATATCTGCTCACCATGGATGCCAACACAGGTGGCATTGCAGCTGGTTTGGTCAAAGAATCTGTTTCCGTTTCCAAAGCAGCCTGTCCAGATAAATCTTTTGCATTTGTCAAAAGCGGCGTCATAGTAGTATCTCAAGTAGAAACCGCTACATCCTCCTTTCTTATATTTGAAGCGACAGGCTTCTCTTTCTGTCAGAAGAAAATACTGTCAGTTCTTTCATGGCAGTAGTTGTTTAATTAGACTTATCCACTTTATTGATGCAAGACTCACAAATATTGCTGAATATGTCACTGTTGATGAACATACATTTTCACCACTTGGTGGCGCATCTATATTACAAAATCTAGATATGTAGCATCCTTGCATTAGATGACACAAATTGAATTCTTAAAACCTTTAAAACCTGCTGCCCAGAAAAAAAGAACCATTCTGGGATCCTTTGTGCAATATTGTTATGAGGTTTTCCTTAAGTTTCTCCTACTCAGGTAGGTTTAGTTTTTATGGTACCTTAGGTCATAAAACTCTTATCAGGGCCTCTTATACCAAAGTTCACCAACAGCACAAGGGATGTTCTTAATGTTCTTAAAGACAATCTTAGCAGCTACATTTCCTATGATTTGTATTTACAGATTAGAGGCAAGGAAAAAGCCAAAGTTATATTCAAACCTCAAAGTGAAACAAATTTTTCTCTCCAAAAACAATGAAAAGCTTACTCACCATCCATGGGGTAGTTTTCTTCTGAATTATATGAGCAGTTTCTCATACAATCTCTTTCACTCTGAAAACGGTTGGCATTTCCTCCCTGGCCTTGGTAAAAGAAAGGCGAGCACTGGTCTTTGTCAGGATTGTAATACACAGCAAAATTAAAGGTTGAGCCTTCACCTGGATCCATGGGCAGCGTACAGAAATCTGTTGGACGATGAAAAAAAGAGAAAAAAACCTTGTTTATTTTAATTTTATTTACAAAACCAGTAAAGTTCTGCTTTTGCTTAGAATAAAACACGTTGGAACAGGAACCTTTAGAAGATCTATAACTAATGTTTAACTAAGATGATCACCAGAGACCCACTCCCTGTTTTACAACAGCAATAAAATGTGTCATGTACTTTTCAGCCGGTTTGCTCTCCGCAGGTTTCACAAAAAGATAGCGCTTTCAAGTAGTTCTTAAAAAAAAGAATGTATTCCTCATTTTGAGGGGATAATTACCAAAACTTGCACACATTACCAAACTAACACACATGCAAACATCAAAATGTCTGGAGCAGCATCGAATTCCAGGCTTGGAGAAGCCCTGGAACATAACTCTGCTCCAGACATTTTGAATTGAGAAGGCTTTCTAAATGGGAAGCAAAACGTCTACAAACTTGGAAAACAAGTCCAATGTTTTTTTTTTACATTTTTGGAATGACTATTACCTGAATGACTGAGAATCTTCACCAGCTTACTAAAGCAACATTAAAATCAAAGTTTTATATCTTCAAAGTGAAAAAAAAATGTATAACAATATTTATTCAAACTAAGTAACAGGGTATATTCAGCTCAGGTGCTGACTGATGGTTTGAAACGTCTGGTCATCTTAACAGGAGAGGGAAGTTATAAATAACATTTCCTTCAAATAAACATCCGTGAAATACTGTAATTTCAGCTTCAGGTCACAACATGCACATAACATAAAGGTACAATGACATTGTGGTAATAGCTGCTTTAAGAGCGACGTTTTGTTTTTACCTGCAAAATCGACAGATTTTTGCTGAACTAACTTGTTTTGCCCTGTTACTCCATGTCTAGAGTCTCAGCCGACCCATGCGTCAGATAAAAATAACACCCAAGTAGCATCTAAATAACCTAAGGGAAAATTTTACTTTCAAGATTACAGTTTTGTGTAAACTAGCTTGTTCAGATTTAGGTAACAGCATGAAAACAATTACATTTCAAACTGTTTCCAAACATTTGCCTGTAATATGCTAACCTGGCGCTCATTAGGGAAAACAAGTTTCCAATTTACAAAACAAATTCCTAATTAGATCGTTGGTTAAATTTTCCTTTTTAAGAAAAAAAATCACCATACCCTGTTTTTGTGAGTTGCTGAGGTGTAGTGCAGACAGAAAAGTCCCTAAAAGCAGAAGGGCCTTCATATTGCTGTTAGTCCTTGTGCTCTCCTCACTGGACTGACAGAGGACCATAAACTACGATGGGAGTGGGTGCTTGTTATTGAACTTTGGACTCTAGTTCCCTTATGGTGACTCATTCGAAACTGAAGTTGATGGCGTGCAAAATCGTAAAAAAGCCAACTTCCTTTTCCTCAACTAAAAAAAAGTTTCTCTCAACAATGAATTAATCTGGTTAAGAAAACCAAGGTAGATGAAATCTTCAACTTTATCGAGTGATTTGCCAGTCCTTATACCTTTAAGGTTATTTCAAAAGGTGAACGTTCAGCTAACTTTTGTGTTTTTGTAGTGGAATGCATGAAATCCAATTTTTGGAGCTAGTTTTTGGAGTTAAGAGGCTCAATGTTCTTTTAATTTTCAATTTAAACAATAAAAATTAATGCTAAAGAAACGCTGCCAAGCAAAATAACACGGTCTGTCCTGTGCAATGTCAATAAAGCCTTTTATCTAATTCATATTTAAGTTTAAAGTTTAACTGTCAGTAATCAGGGTTTGGAACTGCTGTGTTGTGGCCTGGTGGTTAGCAAGCAGAGCATTTTCTTCTTGGAACAACTGTAAACGTCAGAGGTTGAAACTCTCACTGTCACTCTCCCAGAAACAAAAAAGGGTTAGGTAGAAATAGGAATGACAAACTTCCATACTAAGGTTAAAAAGTATGTTTCTTAAGTAGTAACTTTAAGATTAATGGTTAAATCTAAGTCATCACAGCTTTCAAAGAGGTTGGAAAAAATCAGCATGTCAGGTTAAAATAACATATAATTCCAAGTTCGGCAAACTTGAAAGCAAAACTTTAATGATTAAATGAAAGACCTAAACTTAAAAATTTCCCAAAGTTTGCCTTAGTATTTTTAGTTTTGCCAAATTTTCCTTTTTTTTTTACTGTACAGTTTTAATGTCATAGAATATTTTATAGTTTGGGTCTAAAGTAAATAAACATACCAGGAATCCATCCATCCATACATTTTCTCCAGCTTACTCCTTGTCAGGGTCACAGTGGGGCCGGTGCATGTCTCCGGCCATCAACGAGAGGTAGATACGGTAAGAGGCGGGATATACCCTGGACAGGTGTCCAGTCTGTCGCAGGGCAACACAGAGACACACAAAGACGCACAACGATACACACGCACACACCTTAGGACTATATAGAGAAGCCCATTACTCTAACAGTCATGTTTTTGGACCGTAGGAGGAAGCCGGAGTACCTGGAGAGAACCCACACATGCATGGGGAGAACATGCAAAGTCCATGCAGAAAGACCGCGGGCCGCGGATCAAACCCAGAACCTTCTTGTTGCAAGGCAACAGTGCGTCACCTTGCAGTCTATACCAAAACCATATTGCGAAAATGTAAAAGGTAGATTTCTCTGGTCAGTTTAAATATTTACATTTCACTTCTTTTTAAATAAAATTCAGTGTATTTGTATTGCACCAATTCACACCACTTCATCTAAAAAAACTTTACAGAATCAGTTCTATGAAATCATACATTTTACCAAAGGAAGTTCATTAAGCTTCTCTCTGAAACGTCCAGTCCGCTGTAACTCAGACTCAGACAGAAGGATCTCATTGTTTCAGAGTTACTAATAATTATAGTAAAAAAACTGCTACTTCAGCACAAGCACAGATGAGTGAGTAATATTTGCTGGTTTATAAAAAAAAAGAAAAAGATATGTATACCTGACATTACTGAGAGGCAGAAGTGGCACCAAAACCAGCCGGCTCTTCTTCCTGTGCTGGAAGGTAAAATAAATGCTCTCTACTTACTTTTTTAGCAAGCCATCATTTATCTTTTGGTTTCAGTCCAATGCAGAGTTGGAATTTTTCAAAATATAACCAGAAACAAAATAGGAAACACTTAAAATACAAGAGAACATACAATATATATTTATATTGTAAATGCTTTTCTATTTTATTATTATTTTTTTTATTATTATTTTGAAAATATGCAAAAAAACAAACAAACAAAATCTCCACTGGTGCAACAAAATTGTAATGTTGTCTTAAGAGACGGTAATGAGCCAATGGAATGAGTGTTATTATAGCTTTTTTTGGTTTGGAAAGTGTTCAAAACTTTCTGAGAGCTCATGAGCCATGTTGTGGTTGACACACGTTGCAAAAGATTTCATGATGAAGAGTGCTGCGAATACAAGATCCCTGTCCTTGATTTACCTAAGATGTCAAGGGTGAGTCAATCCCATAGATATTTCCCTGTAGAAGTGGATAATGGGCTTTATTAACTAGTGGTGAAAAGGTTACTAGCCAAGCAGTAAGTTCTGAAGATTGAAAATTAAGTAGGCACATCACAGAACAGGAATATATCAGAAGTTTAAAAGAAGAAGAAACCTGGCTTTGAAAAGTAAAAGCAAAACTTTGATATCATCAATCAATCAATCAATCAATCAACCAATTGATCAATCAAGCTTAAGAAATTCATGCACATGCTTTGCATATGTATTCATATGCTTTGATCTTCTTTTAGATTTCATTGTATTGTCGTCCTATTCTTCAGCACATTTTAATGAGACTTTGTGTAAAATGCCAAAGAAAAGAATTCAAAAGAATACATGCTTGTTTTTTGTTTTTGTTTTTTTGTTTATTTTTTCAATCATTAAAACAAAAATAACTGAGAAGTGTGACTAGCATTTGTATAAACCTCACTAAGCAAATACACTCACCGGCCACTTTATTAGGTACACCTGTCCAACTGCTCGTTAACACTTAATTTCTAAGCAGCCAATCACATGGCGGCAACTCAGCGCATTTAGGCATGTAGACATGGTCAAGACAATCTCCTACAGTTCAAACCGAGCATCAGTATGGGGAAGAAAGGTGATTTGAGTGACTTTGAACGTGGCATGATTGTTGGTGCCAGAAGGGCATGTCTGAGTATTTCAGAAACTGCTGATCTACTGGGATTTTCACGCACAACCATCTCTAGGGTTTACAGAGAATGGTCCGAAAAAGAAAAAACATCCAGTGAGCGGCAGTTCTGTGGGCGGAAATGCCTTGTTGATGCCAGAGGTCAGAGGAGAATGGCCAGACTGGTTCGAGCTGATAGAAGGGCAACAGTGACTCAAATAACCACCCGTTACAACCAAGGTGGGCAGAAGAGCATCTCTGAACGCACAGTACGTCGAACTTTGAGGCAGATGGGCTACAGCAGCAGAAGACCACACCGGGTGCCACTCCTTTCAGCTAAGAACAGGAAACTGAGGCTACAATTTGCACAAGCTCATCGAAATTGGACATTAGAAGATTGGAAAAACGTTGCCTGGTCTGATGAGTCTCGATTTCTGCTGCGACATTCGGATGGTAGGGTCAGAATTTGGCGTCTACAACATGAAAGCATGGATCCATTCTGCCTTGTATCAACGGTTCAGGCTGGTGGTGGTGGTGTCATGGTGTGGGGAATATTTTCTTGGCACTCTTTGGGCCCCTTGGTACCAATTGAGCATCGTTGCAACGCCACAGCCTACCTGAGTATTGTTGCTGACCATGTCCATCCCTTTATGACCACAATGTACCCAACTTCTGTTGGCTACTTTCAGCAGGATAATGCGCCATGTCATAAAGCTGGAATCATCTCAGACTGGTTTCTTGAACATGACAATGAGTTCACTGTACTCAAATGGCCTCCACAGTCACCAGATCTCAATCCAATAGAGCATCTTTGGGATGTGGTGGAATGGGAGATTCGCATCATGGATGTGCAGCGGACAAATCTGCGGCAACTGTGTGATGCCATCATGTCAATATGGACCAAACTCCCTGAGGAATGCTTCCAGCACCTTGTTAAATCTATGTCACGAAGAATTGAGGCAGTTCTGAAGGCAAAAGGGGGTCCAACCCGTTACAAGCATGGGTTACCTAATAAAGTGGCCGGTGAGTGTACTTTGCTGATCTACTTATTTGGCTGCAAATACGCTATTTTTGGGGTATGTCTCTCTACCAGTTTGCACATCAAAAAAGCTTCCAATTCTTGCTTCAGATCCTCAGTAGGATTTAGATGTGGATTACAGGCCATTAAAACAGATGGAAAACTTTGCTTCCCAATGTATTTAAAATTGACTTCTGGTTCTGTTATATCAGCATTGGTCCTTGATCAATAAAATTAAAAAAGCCCAACAAGGGTTTTGGGGTTAATGTGATGATATAAAATAAACACTAAAGTAAAATCATATCATTATTGTTATATGATTCAATTCAATTCAGTTTATTTATATAGTGCCAATTAACAGCACGTCATCTCAAGGCACTTTACAGACGCAATTCAACCAGATCTTAGAGTCAAACTGAATCAAAGTTTTCTATCAAAGGAAAACCAGTTGATTGTATCGACTCATTGACTTAAATGCAATCCCTCACACCAAGCATGCATGTAATGACAGTGGAGAGGAAAAACAGGAAGAAACCTCCAGCAGAACCAGGCTCAGTGTGAGCGACCATCTGCTGAGGCCGACTGGGGTTCAAGGAGACAGAAGCTGACAGAAAAAGAAGCAGAGATAAAAAGGCAACTGTCAACAAGCACCACAAGCGGCACCGTCCAGGAAACACACAGTCAAGCAGAAGAGCTCCAATCCAGCTTCCATATAGACAATAATAGCATCATATTGCAACTATCATGTTACCTTATATTATGATTATTTTCTATCTTGAGATAGTTTATCACTTGAAATCCAAGTAAAACGATTAATTTTGGCATTTCAACAAGAGAAACGGTGCAGCTTATATAATTTAGTGTACACATATACACAACTGAGGGACATCACTTTGTACGGAAGAGGATTAGGGCCACTGAAAGAATAAAAAAGTTAACTGATTTAAAAAAAAAAAATTATGTATAATATAAGAAAAGTCAGAATTCTGACTTTAATCTCAGAATTCTGACTTTTTTCTCAGAATCCTAACTTCAATCTCAGAATTCTGACTTTTTTTCTCAGAATTATAATATTTTTCTGAGAATTCTGACTTTAATCTCAGAATTCTGACTGAATTCTGACAAATAACAAACATGATAGCATCAGGCCGTAGCCATGTCTGTTTTAGAGACTAAACTAGCTCTCTTGTTTTGATCACCTTCTGCTCTTCCATTAATGAAATAGCATCACCGGGGATCGCTCAGGCACGTAAAAAGTCACCTAATTTTGTCTGTAACTGGCCCTCCCAAACAACTCACATCTTTGTCAGTCAAGCTGAGTGCTCCCACATCTCTTCCTTCATGGTGCCCATCTACATTAAGATCCAAAATTCTGAGATTAAAGTCAAAATTCTGAGATTAAAGTCAGAATTCTAAAAAAAAGTCAAAATTAGAGAATAAAGTCAGAATTCTGAGATTAAAGTCAGAATTCTGAGACTAAAGTCAGAATTCTGAGAAAAGCCAGAATTCTGAGATCAAAATCAGAATTCTGAGATCAAAGTCAGAATTCTGAGACTAAAGTCAGAATTCCGAGATCAAAGTCAGAATTCTGAGACTAAAGTCAGAATTCCGAGATCAAAGTCAGAATTCTGAGAAAAAAGTCAGAATTCTGAGATTAAACACAGAATTCTGAGCTGAAACGCAGAATTTTGAGGGGAAAACAGCGTCTAAATTCTGAAATTAAAGTCAGAATTCTGATTTTTTGTTTCCTATATTAAACTGAAATAATATTTAAAAATCAGTTAATTTTTTTTTTCAGTGGCCCTAATCGTCTTCTGTACATTTGTCATACCTGTTATAGTTTGAATGTTATTAACTTTAATGCCATAGTGGAGTCACTCAGCATACAGAAACAACATGATGAAAGTTCAGATTAGTGCAATGTGTGTAGTTACCACAGTAGATGATAGAGTGTAAAGCGTTACTGCAGTTCTAGAATGAGGTGGAGACCTCAATGAGCGCTTTCACTGCCTGCGCTTTGGCCGCTCCATGGCTGTCACCCTCCGGTGACTTGGGGGGAATCAGACGACCGGTTTCGTTGATGATCTGACGTCAGTTTGCGCCAACAGCATGGTTATAAAAGGCTATCCGAAGACGGGCGCTCCAAGATCCCGGAGCTGTTACTGGAGGAGGTCAAGATGCGCACTTTGAGCTTCACCGCCTGTGTGCTCCTGCAGCTGGCTGCCCTCCGAGTCCTGCACGGTAAGCTCCGTCCTGGATGAAAAACATGAGCATCTGCTTAGGAAGATTTACCTTTCTGATAAAATGGGATTGGATTCGGTCTACTGTCTTTTTTTGGCATTATTATCAATTACCAGTTGCGATCTTTGAGGTTTTTTTTTTAAAATAAACATGAAAGAAACAATAACTTACTTTATTTATTTGTCTCTTTCAGGCGCTAAATGGACATACAGGGGTAAGTCTGAATGTATTTCCACTGTAAATATCATTAAACCCCACGTTTAATATATGCTTTGTCTTATAGGATATATTTCAGTGGCCGTTGATTTTAAACTCAATTCAAACTGATTAAATATTATGAATATCTGCATCCAGAAGCAATATTAATGTACTGTATCTAAAAGAGAACATTCACATAAATCCATTTATTCCCACTCCCTTCTTTCTTGAGCAATCATTCATTTTCTCTCCTGTACAAAGATTAAAAATAAGTTTGAATGCATAAAAGTATTTTCAGGTTTTTATATTTAAATTTCTGAATGCAAAAATAAAAATAAATATGATCATCAGATTTTTATTTTATACAATTCTATTTTTGGTGAAATGTAAGCACAAAATTAACTACATTTTAATGGAAAGGTAAATTAAATAACTTCAAGTTTAAACGTTTGCAACTTTTTGTCTTTTCAAACAGAGAAAGAGACAATTGATTTCGTTTCATGGAGAATTTCATCAGAACTTAGTTTCCTCCAACTCTCTGTGTGATATAATTATTGTAGAAAGTTTTTTTTGTTTTGTTTTGTTTTCGTTGATAAATGGTAGGGCACTATGGAAGTGCAAAATGCTGGCTTCATGGTCAAAGGAAAAATTAAGCCTACTATGATTTTCCAGTGACATGGTAAGACACCTACTGACATTGTAGTTACCTCGTTTCATTGTAGGGTTCTTCTGCAAGCTCTGCATCCAAAACATTGCATTAGCGGTTGACTTGCCTTTGTGTCATGCCTTAAGGTCTGAGGACTTCTTGACCCAGGAGTTTGTTACATAAACTGTGGTCACGTCGTGACCTCTTCTCTCTGTATCACTGCGTCTAAACAATCTTTTGCAATCAGTGATTAGATTGTACTGAAAACCACCTTAAAGCATTCAAATCCTTAAATAAACACTGTTTTATTTTTTATGTACAGGTTTATTAGAATAAAAACATATGAAGTGTTGCAATTTTTTTTAAAGCTTTATATATTTTTATCGAGAAATTAAGACACTTAATAGGGTAGAATGGCCTGATCTGTGCCGCATAAAACCATAAAAAGACTAAATAGTTCCATTATGTATTTATTGTTTTTATATGCAGTAATGTTCTATGCAGCTTTTCTATTAAACCACAGTATACAATAAAAAAATCCCATGTTTTCAGAGTACTGCTGCTGCATTTCCTCCTCCCTTACATCCAGAGCCCTGATAGTTTTTTTTTTTTTTATTGTAGAGTAATTTGTGAAGCTGGTAGCACATTCTTTTTTTTTTTGACATGGTCTGTGCTGAGTCATACAATTTAACCCCCCAACGCTTCACCCTCTAGCTGAGGACACACAATAAATCTTAACTCGGGATGTTGATTGTGACTGTTCTGAATAGATCACTCCAAAAAAAACTTTCTAACTCTCCTAATTTATGGTTACCGCTACACAGAGCAGACTGTATTTTGAAAATTACCCACAGACACATATGATTAAGCCGGCACTGCCAGGGGACCGTCAGATTTTAGCTGAAGGACAATCCGGTTTAAATTAAACAACAAATAAGGGTGGAAATTGAGCAATTATATTCATAAGTGTACATTTTTGTTGTTATTGTTGGATGGTTTTCTCTCAGTTAAACATTGAGCATTGGATATTTCGCAGCTTTGTTTGACGCTCATTGGCATGTCTCTTGTAGTCAATACGCATTCATCTGAATGCCAGGCCAAAGCTATCATGCTGAATCATTCAGTATTTACTATGGATGGTTGGCAAGTGCTGAATGATGAAATATCTGATTAATTCTGGATGGGTCATTATTTAGTGCCAACACTCAGCCAGTAGAGGAATATGCTTCCAGGGCTTTTCATGCAACTGTTTAAACTCATTCATCCAAAAATCTTGGTCTTGCTTGTGATTGATGATCTAATTCAAAAGCTATGAAATCCAAATATCTCAAACTTTATTTTGAAGGGCAGTTTGACTTATTACTTTTGGAGACACATCCATACAGCTGAGGTCACTTTGTGTGAGTGCATGACTAGAACAACCAGTGTATACATCTGCCACCTTGTGGTAAATGGAAACCTCTTATTAGATAAAGACGTTGTTCTCCCCTGTTTGATAAAACCATCTCTTATTAAAATTACCAGTGTCTGGATCATGCCTCTATCCATTTTGCACATTTATAGACTAATACAAGAGCTTTTTATTTATTTAAAAAAGCTCAAGCTCACCTAACTTATATGATCACATTAGTTGACTGGGTCAGTTTAACTCTTTAATATGCTTTGATTTTAACCAATTTCTGTGTAGCTCTGATCGTATAGGTTTATGGTTCTATGTTTTGGATTGTGTCCTACTGGAAGAAAAACATTCGCCTCTGTTTCAAATTTTAAAGATTCCCAATAATGTATGGCAAGCTAAAATTAGAGCATAGTTTGACATTCTTTCTATAATCTCACTTTTCCATATTCCTCCATATTCTTGCATTAATGCCAGTCTTGTGTCATGCTTTCAATGGAAAAAAAGCCTCTTTTATTTAATAACAAAATTGATTCTGAAGGCAATGTGTTGCATATTCTTAAGAGTAAAAGACATTTAAATAAAAGTATTAGCTAGATATTTATAGGTAAAAAGGAAATAATGACTCATTCCTCTTCCAATTTACAACTTTGAAGTACTTTATTGGTCTATTTGATCAAATCCCAATAAAATATATTGTAAATATAATTTAAAGCAACAAAGTATAAAAAAAGATTTGCTCGTATACTCTTGCAAATCCTGCATACACCAGCGAAGGTTTTTCTACAAAAAAAACTCCAAACAGTTTCATTTAGAATCCATTACAACTTGTTCAGTGATTTAATGTACATTAATGATTAAACATATGCTCCTCTCAGGATTTATAGACCTTGTTTTCCACACCTGCTACCTTAATATGAATTGATTAAAAGATTTAGATTGTGTCTAATTGCACTTATATTGCTCTTATAAAAAATAAGAATTTACATAGAATATGAAGCTTGCAGCTGGTTCTTTGAATCGAAGCACATGTGGGCTTTCTTTTTAGGTACCTCTTCCAGTCACTAATACATTTTTTGAAAGTGTTTAAATGGTGATGTTGCAGGACCGGAAGGAGAGCATCACTGGTCCAAGCATTACCCCTTCTGTGGAGGTGCTTTCCAGTCTCCAATAGACATCAAATCAGAGCTGCTGAGGTTCGATCCAGCTTTGCGTCCGATTGAGCTTCAAAACTACAACCTGTCACCAAATGAACAACTCACTCTGGGAAATAATGGACATTCTTGTGAGTAAAAATCTACTAAAAGTATCATCAAGTATTAAACAGTGTTGATGTTAATCTCTAATTAGGTGGAACGACCTTTAATAGAAACAGAGCAAACAATAGCTTTGTATGGTTTGAAACGCAGATGCTCTTAAAGTTTAAATTATTAACTCGAAAAGATATTCAATAGAAATGGCCTCATAGAAATATGGAGATATAATGTCTGGGTCAACACAAAAAATAAGGAGAGTATCATCCTTCCAGTTTAGCAACTGCAATTTTCTGTAATCAGTCTCTTATTATCTTAACTATCCTGTCTTCAAAAAAATGGCTCCAGATTTAGTAAAGGAAAATTCATGCCAAGGGTGTTTCTCTGCCTTGACTTGTAGCTCAGCCCAGAGAAATTGGTTTTATATGCGGTTTCTATTTATAGCCAAATTAGCAATAAAGAGAATTGCTTGCAATCAGAACACACTGTAGAAAAAAGCTAAAAAAAAAAGACTTCTTGGGTAGAGTTGGTGCTTTATTCTTGATTTTGTGAGGCTGATTCAACAGACGTCTGACACAATCCTTCAAAGATTTCATCAGGAATTTCTATGACGGTTGTGCTTAACATGCATGCAACGTCTGCCAGGTCAAAATTATGATTCAACATGAGGTATATCTGTAAGTGAACAGGTGATGGAAACGTGACGGAATGCAAAGAGTAGGTTAGTGCTTATGGTTGCTGATGGGATGGACCTTCGCACCACAAGCTGAGTGACGTCCTTGTATGATGCATGTTTTGAAAAGAGCTGACACAAGTTTTTCATGCGTAAGCAGTCATGACACACTGAACATGTGGAGTGAAACATGCAACACTTCAAAATTAACTGCATTTAATGCAGTTTTACAACCTTGGTGGCTCAGGGGCCATGCTGACTTTCTTACTTTGGACAAGGTTAAAAAGAATTCCTCTTGATAGCTGTAAAGCAGCTGTGACTCTTTTCTGTTTATTTTGATTGATTTGCAGTGCAAATATCTCTGCCCCCCAAGATGTATATCTCCAGCCTGCGTCATCGTTATACTGCAGCTCAGCTGCATTTCCACTGGGGCTCCTCCAGTCGGCCTGCAGGATCTGAACACACGGTTAACAGTAGGCAGTACGCAGCAGAGGTAATCTGATAGCATGTCCTTTTTCTCAGTGTTAATTAACATAAAAAATATAGATTAATAAAAATGTTCTGTTGATGCAGTCTCCATGGTAAAGAGGTCAAATGTCTTCACCTCTATGCAAAGGACCTGGGTTTAATTCCCGGTTACATAGTTGCAAGAAGTTCAAACAGAAGACAGATAATTCAGACATGTCTCTGCTATAAAATCATACATAATGAACACATAAACAACCTTCTTATATCTGTTATTTCAGGTGACATCCCTCTCAACAATGATTTAACGCTTCATGACAAAAGTGACGACCTTTTGATTGGCACTGACATCAGAGACGATGACACCATTTAATGTTGATTCAGCTCATCCTCAAGAAACATGCAGTTTTGCATTGGTTGCAGTTTCCTGACAGTGTATTAAACTTCCTATCTGGCATCTTATCTGTCTCAGAGACAAGATAAAACAATGCGACTTATTACAACTTTGCATACATTTCCTTAAACAAGGAAAAACTCTATTTATTTATAATCTAAAACCTGTATTTTTGGCAGTAAGATTCCCATATTGCGTCCCACTGCTACTTTTACTTTAAACGTTCATACTTATGCTGCCCAGGGAGCCAGTGTTTTATTGCAGCAGGATTTTAAAGGCTTAAAGTAGAAGAAAGTTACATGCTGTGGTATATAACCACATCTGTAAAACGTATTTTGATAGTTTAGATAAAGGAGAAAATCTGGCATTACTGCTGAAATAAGATGGGAAAAAAATAAGATGTAATAAATGTCACAAATTCATTCAAAAGGGGTGGAGACCACCATACCTGTGTGCTTTTTATCATACACTGCCTCTTTTACAAGGCAGCCACATCTAAGGTGTTGAGGTTTGACTTCAGTTTTTTTCTAACATGCATCTTTTTAAAGTCTTTTTTTTTAGCCAAGCTTTAGTACCACAGTTCCATGATGAATGGTCATTTTTTTTTAGGATGGGATGAGGAGAAATGAGACATTTCCCAGAAACAGTACAAATGCACATGTTAGTCTACACACGCATTGTCATTAAATTTGCCCTCAATGACAAACTGGTCAAACTGACAGGAAATCACCATGCCAATCACTTCTTACTGACTGGGAATTCCCTTATAGAATAGAATAGAATAGAATAGAATAGAATAGAATAGAATAGAATAGAATAGAATAGAATACAGGGTGGATGGACCACAAAGCTATGAAAAAATATCTGTGTGGTAAGACTATTCCTGTTCCTTTTCCTGAAAGCAATAGAAACTTTAAATTTCCTGAGTTTGTGTTATGTTCAGTCATATATCTGGCTTTCCTTTGTGTCAGTCCAACACTGTGTTCATGTCTAGGAGAGAGATTCTCATGTGCTGTTCTCTGCACTCCGACCAATTCCCTTCAGTTTTGGTCAGTTTATCTCACTTGCAGCACAGTCAGACTAGGACAGATGACTTATCTCGGGTGTGGCTTTGTAAAAGTTTGTGAACAAATATATCACCTTTTGAACATTTTTAACAAATGTCCAAACAGTCACATACTCGGAAAGTAAAGAGTTTGGACACACAGTCTGATTTTAGGACCTGTAAGGGTGTACCATCTCCTATTTGCAAAAACTCTTTCTTAAGCACAAAACTGAATAAATCGGAGGCAACTGGACTTTCACTTAAAAGTCCAGATGCCTCCAATTTGAACCCATTATGTGGTTGGCATGACTGCGATCTGCACAGGCAAACCCTTGCTGAGAAGCTCCACTATCTAGAATTTTAAGTATGAAGATAATCAAAATTTATAATCCAATTTTAATTACAATACTTTTATCTCAGATTCACATTCTCAAGTATTAAGCAGTCAGCATAAAATGTCAGCCCCTTTTCTTTTGTACATTTAGTCAAAAATATTTTATGCATAAAATTAGGTAAAAAATGTGAAACACCTTATTTGTTTACAAAATATATTTAAAATTAATTGTATTAAAGAAAAAAATTACCAGAAACTAATATCTTTTTTTACATATTTCATTGCTCTTTGCTTATGTGCTTATGGCAACCAGAAAATTAAATGAATAACATTTTGTTAGTTGATGTTTTTTAAAGTGGCCTCCTAGTCATGTACTACGCCTATAAATAAAACTACCAAAAACCATAAAGCAATATAAGTCAAGGTTTGTTCCCTGATAGTGTTTAGGGTCTTTTCACACGATTTAGACAGCGTATGCTCGACGTCCCAGAATCTCCTAAAACACTAACAAATGCTGAATATTCTATGTATTTTTTCAATTTTGGGGGTATACATAACGTATTCATAACAAGTCCAGAACTTATGTTTAACGACAGCCTAACTTTTGCTTAATGCACGGTAGCGTAATGCCCATAAAATGTCACAAGCCCCTCTCCTGAGGAGAGCAGTGATGCGCCCGGTCTGCATAAAAAGATGTCTTAGATTGTGATAGTAATCTGACTGCTGTTTACTGCCCACCCCCCAAAAAAGTTTCCTAAGTTTCCTCCTGTGAGCCCCCTTTTATAACAAAACGCTGCCAATAAGACGCTATACAGTAGATTTACGTTAGAAACAAGTTCAGAGGTCGTCTAGAACAAGTCAAATATGCTGATATGTTTGGGGGATAAGTTATGCATAACTAATGCACAAGTTACTCATAGGTTTTGGATAAGCTAAACGCCACGACTTATTAGTAACTTACACTTAACATATGTCAACATTCAGATAACTTACCTGTAACTTATACCCCACGTATGAGCATACGCTGGTATACGTTAAGAAATTTTGAGCATACCCATAAATTATCCAACTGATGCCAGCGCTTTTGCCAGATTTTTCGTACATCAGGCATAGGCTGACGGGTGTGACGGGGGCTTTACTTAGTCCTTTTAGAGCATGAAAACATTTTTGCACTGTGGGCGATCAGCATACTTAAATCTGTTGTACACTGTCGCCACCTGTTGGTGGTACTTTCTCATGCATGGTTCTGATGCTTTAGCTCCTGATTCAATCACCGCCAACATTTATACTGTATTCTGAGCACTACACTACTATATTTCTTTTCTCTTTCTTTACTGATTCCAAAGGGGAAATTATATATTGTACTGCCTCGTAGGATTTTTTTCAACAGTTGCTGTATATGTTGATAAATGCGTGTGATCTTGCTACAGTTAATCCTCACTTAAGTTTACTAGCACATGAAGTAAAAACTGATTGTAAAACACAGGCATAAAATATGATTTACCAACTAGATAGCAAAAAGTTTCATAATCCATTAGTTGTATTGGGTTGTAATGTAAAAGTAATCAATATAAATATGTTTCAAGCCTCATAGTTTCCCTAAAAACCTTTAAACTAAGAGTGGCATTAAATTAAATTCTTCATATGGATGAAACCTTAGAATACTTTAAAATAATGTTGGTTCAGACATGCAGTGCTGTTTATGACTCTAATTATTGTCAAACAAAACAACAAAAATAGTTCAGTGTGAAATGTAGGGTTGTTGCCATGATTTCTTTTTTTAATGCCTTTTTTCTTTTTTTAAAGATGCATGTAGTACATTACAACTCAGACAAGTACCCCAACATTTCCATGGCTGTAGACAAATCGGATGGTTTGGCTGTGCTGGGTGTATTCATTGAGGTGAGAATGTATGGATCCTTTTAAAGTGGGACAAATTATTTTTATTTTAGAGATTGGTTACTTAACAATGCTTTCCTCAATAGATTGGGGATTTTAATCCTGCCTATGAAACATTTCTGAAGTTTATCAACGGTATCAAATACAGAGGTGAGTAATATATTTAAACCCAAATTTGAATTTATTAAAATCACATAGAATGATACAACTTGTAGACCTTTATTTATCATATAAGTTCATTGCATCTCATCAATAATTGCTAACACTAAAAATGTCATCTTGCATATATGTAAGCAAGATGACATTTTTATATATGTATATAAAGTAATTCAAATAACACATATAACAAATAACACATATATATGTGTATATATATATATATATATATATATATATATATATATATATATATAAAACCAAACTTTAGCTTTCACCATAAGTATTTTTTTATTTCTTTTAAAAACAGAGAAAGGATTAGATTGTTTTATTTTTCTGTGAATATTATTCAAATACTGACACCTTTAATTGAAATACATCTTTCCATCGTCGCCTTTTGAAATCAATGAACAATAGCAATAAATATGCTAAAACAAAATGTGTACAGATGAAGATTTTCCCCTTTATATTTCCGCCCGATCCCTCAAATAACTATGCCTAGAACTCCCTTTTTTTTCTTTTGAGATACAAGACATCAGAAATCGTCCTTATAAATTTTAGGAAATACTTAGGTTAAAATATTATGTAGCTTTGTAGATGCATTAGATAAATATGCTTAATTTGTGCCTATCTTGCTATTTTTTTATGTGTCAGATCATAAAGTGCAGGTTCCAGGTTTCAACGTCAGAGCGCTGCTACCTAACCGTTTGGACGAGTTCTATCGCTATGACGGGTCACTGACGACTCCCCCGTGCTATCCTAGTGTGCTGTGGACAATTTTCAGAAATCATGTGACTATTTCTCAAAAACAGGTACAGTGAATGCAAATACACTCTGGGCCGGATCTATCAAAGGTTTGTATGTATAAAAACGTGAGCTATTTCCCTGCGCACGCTAAAAAATGTACAAACTGATCTATCAACTGCGTGCTAAAAGGATTT